AGAAATTTCTCGTTAATTAAAATTACTTGCTTTTGCAAAATATACACGGGGAAAAATTCATAATTTTCTATCTTACAAAGATTAATCAAAATATTCTGAAACACTTTTTGTCTTGTGGCAAACTTTATTTGCTCGAAAATGAAAATACGAGAAGCGTAGGGTAAAAAAGTACGTTACAATTGTAGTAAATTTATTTAAATAATTATTACAAGTAAATTGTACTATTGTCAAGATTAATAGGCACGAACACTCTCAAAATTTGCTTTATGAAATGTAAAAAGTACCTTACGATATGGCGATTATTCATTTACCAAAAAAGTCAAGTAAATTTTACATAAATAATCTATCATTACCTGTCAATTCCATAAAATTTATTAGAGTTCTAATGCATATTTACGTTTATCTCCATGTAAAGTTTAACTTTTAATAGAAATCCATTCTGTCTATATAAATCTATTCTTTTCTATTCCTTTAATAAAAATCTATTCTACTTTCTACAAATCTATTTCACCTTTTAATAAAAATACCTCAGATTAGAAATTCTACCTTGAATAATTGACCGTTCTCGTAACATTCGTGGAAGACAAAGCGTCACTATAGCAATAAAATTATCTGTAAGCATAAAATTTGACACGTGATTTCTGTAAGGATGTAATTTCGTTAGACGTGTATTATGCATTCAGTAAAGAATGTTTGCGAAACTTGTATTCTATTATAGAAATAGATTTTATCATAGTCTAGAAATTATACATTTTGTTCATATTATACTATACTATAATTAGTCTCTCGCTTTTTGGCGTTCACTTCGTGCGCGTCTCGTTCATGAGGAGACCCTAATGGTTCTCCCTAAGGTTCCTGAGGAACGTGAGACTCGAGTGTAGAAGTGAAACGGGGAGGTTCGGAGAAAACGGAAACGCGAACGCGACGGAAGCGCGTAATATGTCCCTGATACCAACAGAACCGCCTGCGCTACACAAAACAAGCAACAGGTCCTCGTTCTTCTCTCCGATCAATTTTCTCTTTTCAAATTATCTCGAAAAAGCAAATTTTAATTAAATGCAAATGATCGTAAAGAGCACTCCGGGAAGAAAAAGAAATGACACGTCTGCGTCTTCAGAAACAGTAAATTGGATCGTATCGAAAATTTGATAACGACTATCAATGGAACGTCGCTTCCAACGTCGTGATAATTAGCGCTGATCAGGATTGCGATAGGCCATCCGGAACCAATCGCCTGTCGATAGCTCGTCAATCGAGAATTCAAGTGTACGACCAGCCGCGTACTAGGCGAGCAGATTTCGGGGTAGGCGTTTTAGCGCGATCCCCACCAACCCAAAACCACGTGACGCGTCGTCCTTGCAGGATCAGGCTAGTAGTCTTTTAAACAGTTGGCACGTGTCCTCCCACGTCCGAAAATCCTCTAAATTTCATAATTAACGTAAAATTCTATTATCACGTCACAACAGCAAACGTCCTACTTGTCGCATATCGTTGAAAATGTCATTGTTTCTTTTACTCCCAAGATTTTTCAAATTAGAATATACGTTTCTGCAAAATCTTTCCTCTTGATATCGCTGGAATCACGTAATCCGACGTAAAAATCTGATTCTGTAATTCCAGCGATATTAAAACAGAAAATTTCGCAAGAATGTATATTTCAATTTGACAAATCTTGGAAATAAAACAATGATCATTCGGTTTTGTTAAAAAAAATCACTTCTCTGTCGTAAATCTTTTGTGAATTGTGGGTAAAAGAAAAATTTCTTGTCCAAGCTTTTCGAAGAGTTCTTCAAAGTCGAGAATGTACTTGGAAAGTAAATATTACATGTAAAACTGTAATATATAGAAAATACATAACATTAAGAGGAAACCATAGATGTGAGAAATTAGTTGATATTCTCGTGTAAATCCAAATGCAACGATCTAACGCGTTCAGAGGAATGAAACAAAATCGTAAATTGCGTGCAGCTTTCTTCTCATTAATCGCTATTTTACATCACCCACCTCCTGTAATGACGAAACCTTTTTATTCGAGTGCTCGTACTTTTATCGGATTACTTCTGGTCTCTGCTTCGCAATTTTCGCTATGTTAAAATATTTCAAAGCACTAAAACAAGCTATTCACGCGAGATCCAAAGTTATCTGCGAGGTTTTGTTATTGTGCCTTATCTAAATTATTGCGACGAGCATGACGACATTATTTCTGTATTTCGGTCCGACAAGACTCACAATCAGAGAGACCTCTAAATGCATAGCGACTTCGTGTCCACGTGTAAAAGACGAGGCACAGACCTTTTCTTTTTTGAATAAGTGTGTAACGCTTAATGCATATAAGACATAAGAAAATCAATCAGTCGGAATCTTTCGTTTCGTAAAAAGGGAGAAAAAATGAAAGACTTCCGACCGGTCCACATTTTCTTACGCATTACGCGTCACGCAAGAGTGTGCTTTCGTCCTAAGGCTTTAGCTAATTTATATAATACAGACGAAAATGAGCACTGGGGGGAAAACGCATTGACGCGATTAATCCGTTCTCCGTGGTTATTGGAAAATTCGTACGAAGACGAGGGGAGGGAGGAGTTATGCCAACTGTTGCTTCGGGATGCGTCGATACAATTTGCCGTGGCGATGGTGGTGGGAGCGGTGGCGGCAGAGGTGGCGGCCGACGGCAGCGTCGCGCGCCGATAGATTGGATACATCGATACACTAGTTGTATCGCTGACGTAGGGGGAGGG